CCATCGCTCTTAGGTTGGAGGCCATCGCTCTTAGGTTGGAGGCCATCCCTCTTAGGTTGGAGGCCATCCCTCTTAGGTTGGAGGCCATCGCTGTTAGGTTGGAGGTCATCGCTCTTAGGTTGGAGGCCATCCCTCTCAGGTTGGAGGGCATCACTCTTAGGTTGGAGGCCATCGCTCTTAGGTTGGAGGCCATCGCTCTTAGGTTGGAGGCCATCGCATCGCTCTTAGGTTGGAGGTCATCGCTCTTCGGTTGGAGGCCATTGCTCTTAGGTTGGGGCCAACTGCTATTAGGTTGGAGGCCATCGCTCTTGGGTTGGAGGCCATCGCTCTTAGGTTGGAGGCCATCGCTCTTAGGTTGGGGGCGATCGCTATTTGGTTGGAGGCCATCGCGGTTAGTGTCATTAGTTTGCTAGGTCCTCTCTCAGGTGTCATTTTCCAATTGGCCGCTCGTAAAAGCTCCTAGCCGTCCCCTTCTCTTTCACTCCAATGCCAAGCGCAATTCATGTAGAGTTTTTTCCCATCCTGAATTCAGTTGCGGAAAGTTCAATTCTTAATCTCTTGGATGTGGATCATTCAACCAAACTTGCGATGTAGAAATTCTTTGTGCAGTCAGAATTGAATCGTAGACAACACCCCTTTTAGTGGAGTGTAGCGAACAAAACATTGTCTGGCGGCTGAAGTGCCCGTCAGACTGCTGATTGCAGTGGACAACTCTTCAATCATATTGTGCCACATCAAAGCCAGCACGCTTTTGCCAAGCCAAGCTTTAGCACTGAAGTCGCAACACAATGCTGCTACTCCCAAAGCCTCTTGAACTATTTATAAGGGCTGCCGCCCCTGCCGCCGACCCCGGATTCTCAGGTCCGGCTTTTCCTCCACTGGTTGGCATTGCGAGGGTTTTTCGAACAGGGGTTTCAGTCGTCCTTTTAAAGGTTGCTCTTCTGGAATCGTCGTTTCTTTCCGGTGTCGAGGTCCGTGCCCGTGCGGAGCGTTTCATTGCCTGCTCTCTGGATTGTTTGCTAGCATTTTCCACCACTAACCAGCCTCCCAAAAAGCATCTGAAACCACCCCTTCGCCACGGCTTTAACCCATTGAGTTCTGCTCCAAACGATTGAGTTCTGGCGGATCTATCATTATTCCCTGGCGCGCTCCCCCTTGCGTCGGCCGGGGTCGGCGGATTTATGTTGCATCAGTTCCCAGCATTTGAGGCTAGTTTGAGGTGCCTCAAGCGATGGCATGGCGGCAAAACAACCTACTAACGATGGCCTCCAACCTACTAGCGTCTAGTTACGAGCGATGGCCTCTAGCCCAGAAGCGATGGCCTGCAATCTAAGAGCGGCAGACACTTTTTCCTGACACCTTTTTCTGACTGCCAGCCCTGCAGGCGGTATCATTGCTCCTTGGAATGATAGGAGTGCCCGTAGATACGCACAAGACACCCTTTGTCTCCGAGGAAGCCCCTTTGCTGCAGATTGCTCGAGTATTTACAGTTTTCATGGCCAATCGTTACGCGACTCAAGTCACAGACACACGCACGCACCCTTCCACGAGGAATTGGATCTTGTGTTTCGATCAGCCATGCAGAGTGGGGTGGTGGCCGCAGAAGAAGGTGAGATGATTGCGAGTGTTCGAAATCTGGATAGCAAGAAAATCAAGGCCAGGACAAAACAAAGCAAGCTTTTGGGGAGCCATGTTCTCAAAACGAACCTATGAAGGATGTCTAAGATGCACCATGTTTCTCCTCAGGAGATCATGACGCCTTTGGTCGACATGATTTGCATCGAATCGCAAGAACCCATTTCGAAGCTGCATCATTTGATCAAGACTACTCAGCCTTTTGCCCGGTAGAGCTGAGCAAAGACTTTGCTGGGTCTTGGGGCTGGGGTTGGAAATGTATACAGAGAAATAATGGATAAATGTAATTAATATTATATGCACATTATTGCACACAGACATCGTGTATTTGGGAGACTCGAGGTTTAGCCGCATCCCTGTCTACGAAGTGCGTTTTGACAACATCATCGGCCCTTCGGCAAAATGCGGAATTGAGATGAATTGAGCTACCGGATTGGCATATAGAGACGATGGTCAACAACCTCTAAGGTGTGGTTAGCATGAAGACGCTGCTGAAGAATGCGGACGGTTTGGAGGAGATTGTCGATTCAAACTCGAGGAAAGTCTGCGAGATTATCGACACCCCCGTCTTTGTTCCAGACGCTTGTCGCCGCCATTAGTGCACACGTGTTGGTCTTGAGCTCTTGAGCAATGCCGCGGATTTCAGCATTTTGGTTCTGTGTGGCACACAAATTCCGTCCTGAGTGTTCCCATTGCTCAGGAGACAATGTCCCTCACTGCGGCATTGCGCTTATTAAAGGAGAGAACACTGGCCGTTTGTGTTGTGCCATGGCAGCATGGAGTTGGCTTCCAGGAAACTAGTTGCCACCTCAAAACGACCCCCTCCAGCCTAATCTGTCAGCTGCCTTCGGCCCAGGATGAGTATGGAGGCACCACTGGTTTAGTTACTTTGGAAGATGTGCTGGAAGAGAAACTCGGTTTTTGAGACCTCAGCTCCTTTTGCTGCCTGGACCAGTGATGGGCCGATAAGCTCTGCATGAAATAAGGATTGTGGGTGAGATCTATGACCCAGACGAAGAGAAAGATCAGGTTGAAAGGCAACAGAATCAGGACAAAATTCAGCAGCAACTCGACCAATAGTTGTTGCCCTTGACCTTTGACTCGCCCTTTTTGCCAAACAATGCATCTGAGATCCATGCAAAACGTTTGTGTGGCTTTTTTAGAACGCCTTCAGGATTGCACCCAATCACTTCTCGATGAGCGGCCTGGCGGAAAAGTACGAGGTGGAGGAAGCTTTCGGCATCAAAATGCCCGAGGGTGACTACAACTCCATTGGCGGTTTCATGTGCACAAAAATTGATCGCATCCCATTGATCGGTGAAGCCTGCATCGTAGAGACAGCCGCAGAGCGGATCCGCTTTGAGATTGCGAAAGTGGACGAACGACGAGTGCTGCAAGTTGAAGCCTTCCGGACAGGAAAAGAGGGTAAGCAGCCTGTAGAAGGAGATGAAGATCGAGATGAGGTGGGGATGCTACCTTGCACGGAAAGCACCCTAGGTAAGTAAGTCATATTTTACAAAATCTGATAAACTGAAAAAGTGTTTCCTCCCATCACCCAGGAGCTGGAAAAGCGCCAAGTGATTTTCTCAGAGGTGGACGTTTTGGACGCTCACAGTCACGATGCGAAGGAGAGCGCAGAGATAGAGGGCGCAGAAGCTGGTGCAAGTGTGGGTGAAGTTGAAAATCCTAGTGACATTCCGTCTGGAGTTAGCATAATAGAAGGAAGTGAATTGCGACTTCCTGTAAGTCCAACAGAGGCAAAGCCTGAATCGACGAGTCAAGGCCTTGAGCGCCTTGAGCAAGCGAAAACTGAAGGCTTGCAAGGTGATGTGAAGGAAAGCTTGCCAGATGAAAAGAAGTCTGAAGAAACCAAAGAAGTGTTGGACGTGTCGTCCAAAAGATCGAGGGCAGAGCCAGAAAAGAAAGGCCAGAGCCAGGGCAACGAGATCAAGAACACAAATGACAAAAAAGATAAATCCGGTTCACAGGGAAAAGAGCAAGAAGAGAAGAAGCCGGAGAGACCAGAGAAATGAACAGGACAACAGGAAGACTTCACCTCAATGATCTTCAACTACACTTGATGCGTCATGGAGCCGCTCGAGCTCGAGATGTTGAATTCACATTCTATCGTGACTCGTTGAGTTCACGTTTCTCACCTCGCCACAGCTGGCATCACAAGCCTGAGCGGCGGCGAGGGGAACAGCTCCCTGTGTGCGAGAATTGTTTGCATCATAGTTTTGTGTAGCTGTGGCTCACACAAGAAGCAAAAAAGATGAGAATCTATGAGAATGCAGCTGGAGTGAAATGAGTCCAAGACAGTGTTCAAGACATGATCTGAAAGGGCTATCCAGCACATGCACCTTTTATCATGACCATACTCTAGCTACTAGATCCAAACAGAAGCAATGACACTACTGTGTTGCTACTGTGCCATCGCATCCTACTGTGTTTCCTTCCAGCCCGTGGCATTCCAAGCCTATTGTGCCAAGGGTAGCTACGTGCTGCCAGCTGGTGACCTTGACCATTGCAACCGCAGCAGCCACAACTGCGACGAGGTGACGAGCCAAGCAAAGGGCCAAGACCAGTCTCAGGGTAGAGGCCATTCCTATTAGGTTCCGGCCATCGCTGTTCGGTTGAAGGCAGAAGCATGCTGAAGCCATGGAAAATTACAGGAAGAAATGAAGGAAAGGAACGGACAGTAGCTAAGGAAACAAGAACTAAGAAAGGCCTAAAACCTAGGAAAAAGAATGTGTTTGTGTTTGGTGACGGAGCCGCTATCAAGCCCAGGCTTCAACTGTTCAGGTCTTTGCATTGGACGAGGTGGGCCTGAAACCACCTCCAATAAGCACATTGCTAACTTAATGACGGTATTTTGCTTTGCGTACGGTTTTCTTTGGACCTATAGACCTTGCATGTTATCAGTACATCAAACATATTGTTGGGCTTCGCAAGCTCAGCATGGCCCAGGCTAGTACGTAGATTGATGGACCACCTCCCCAACCGAATGCGTTGACTGTCTTGGATGCTCGCTATTTTGCATCAGACTTTGGGGTCATTGGGGTTGCTTGAAGTGGTCACGAAAGGTGTAGCTTCTGAGAAGCTCCCTTGAGTTTTGTGGGGCAGTGGCAGGAGGTATTGGTATTGATTCATCAATGAAGGGGCCCCGAGCCCTTAAAGATCAGTATTCATTCATTTCTGCTAGTATATGGGGCAGCTGAATGCCAGCTGCGTTTGGCCGGTAGGCTTGGCCCAATGTATGGAATGTATGAATGTAGCTGTATGTGTATATGTTGTTTTAGAGTTATGTAAGTATGGATGGATGTAGGCATGCATCTAAGCACGCAGCATGTATGGATGTATGCGGGTATGCATGCGTGCACGGACGGATGGACGGACGTAACGATGTGTGCATGATCGCCCGCACAAAGTCCGGAAGAAGTTGATGCCCATGGCACTGAGCCTGCCTCCTTGGGGGCGTGCATGTTTGACCGGGTCGGTGGATACATAGGTGAATTGCTCACGACCATTCCATTAGCACGTTGCGGGCAGGTATTGGACGCGTATGGGGTGACCCAGGTTCGGCTGAAGTTTCCAGACACGAGAGAAGAAGCAGAGAACTATGATGTGTTGTTGTTTGTGCATTTCAGATTCGCGGTGTTTTTTCAATGCCATTATATATATATAACATATGATATAAAGTGCTGGGACCATGTCAAATTGCGACCTTTCCAAGACACCGACGGAACAAAGAGCTTCGCTTTAACAGATAACTTTGACGCCCACAGCAGACCAAACCCAGCTACAGGGGCCCAAGGAGTAAACTGCTTTGCCCCAAGACCCCTAGATCTATGTGCGCAAGCGAGACACGGCCAGCTGGTGCAGCGAAATGACAAAAAGATGCATTCAATCACACTTGAAAGGCATCTCAAGCCAGGCAACGTTGTCAGGAAGTAGATCGCCTTGCAGGCACCAAGTCCCCAATATTCCTCAATCAACCAACTGCAACTTCTGAAGCCGCCAGGAAATTGATGGAAGTTGTACTGTATACGTGTATATATATATATATATGTAGCCGAAACTTCTCGGACGCGGTAAGTTATGATGAGGTTTCTTTGTGTTCTGATTGTTCTGAGGACTGATTTCCATGTTATATAGACGCCGAAGCCCAATTCAGGTGTGTTTGCTGAAGATCGACTCCGAGGGTGCAGAGCTGAAAGTGCTCCGGAGTGCATGGGCTGCAACCTTAGTTTGGCGAAAACGCGGGGCCACACTCCGATTCTGTTCAAACAAAGGGCATCGCTACGAACGGAGCAATCGGACGCTACGAACGGGGCTCCTGGCCGCACAACTAGGAACAAGAAGCTACTAGGAACACACCATGCTGCAAGTTTACCCAACAAATTGGCAGCACTGGGTGTCCGCAGAGGCACGCAGGGGTTCTGTTGCGCAGAAGTTCCAACTTGTTTGAAAAAGTACGTCGTTAAATTGAAAGTTCAGCCCCTACATATACGCATTGGTGCTGAGTAGCTCATGATGCTTTTCTTGCGGCGTTTGTTTCCTGTCAAACGTGTCCAGCAGTCCCATTCAGCCTATTCTTTGTGTTGTGAGTTTTCGTTCCGTAGTCGCAACCGACATTGCTGAGGGCTGGCTGGCCAAGCGTGCCATACGGATGGTGTACTTCGAATGGAGGCCATCTCAGGTTGATACAACCTGGTGGGGTTGGTGGGTGACGTAGGTCAACAAGCTGTGCGTAATGATAGGCTTGTGTTTTCAAGAACCTCGCGTTGTTGGACATAACTCGTCACCAATCAGAATGCTCGTCGCAGCCGTTGCAGATGATGTTGAGTCTTGGACGTCGATGTATACTCACCACCCCATATTACTATGGACTACCAACTGGTATTACTAAGTTTCTTGAATGCGTTCACTAACAAAATGCGTTCAAGCAAAGGGCATCGCTACGAACGGAGCGATCGGACGCTACGAACGGGGCTCTTGGCCGTACTACTAGGAACAAGGTTCGCGTCTCGAACGGAACAAAGGGCATCGCGTCTCGAACGGAGCAGGGACGAACAGTTCCAGAAAGACTGGCCCTCCGCCTCACAGGCCCTTGACAAGCATTGCCCGAGGGGAGGCGGCCAACTTGACGTGTTAGGTGTGGCTATAAGGGAGAGGCCCCCAAGAAACGGTCGATATAAAGGAAAAAATCTGAAAACTAAAGGAATCAACTACAAGAACTGACAGCACAATTGAGAAATGTGTTAAATGTCTCAAGAAGAAGGAACATCACGTATTCAATGTGGACTGTTTGTGCCACTTCCTGTTTGCAGAGTCCAATCCGAAACACAACATGGCGGCACGGATCTTTACGATCAAGCCCCATAATATGCAATTGCCATGTGTTCAGGATCCGTTTGAAATCCTCAACTTTCTGGCCTCGTTGAACTACAGGACTGACATCGAAAGATAAACATGCATATGGAAGATACTATTAGGTTGGAGGCCATCGCTACTAGGTTGGAGGCCATTGCTTCTAGGTTGCAAGTGTTTACTTGTTGCTGTCAGTCACTAATTTAAGAACATCCGCTGACTAGGATACTTGCCTCAATCCAATGGTTTGCCGATGACCAGGCAGAATGGCTTTTTATCCTGGTGCTGTTTCGAAACGTTGGACCGGCCCTTTTCCTCGTTCTTTGCTTGACTTATGCAAACCAGATTTTGAGGGGCACTTCTCATGTCAATGAAGCCCCGGCTCATGATCTCAACATCCTTTGCCATTGGGTTATACCAGGTACTGGCCCACTCTCAGAGGCATTCATGCGGTGGATGTTCTTTGGGAGCTAGATTGAATGTGTCACCTGTGTTGGATTAGAGTGACATGTGTTTGCACGGAGACATTTGGTCTCTTCATATCAGAAGATTTTGAACTGCTAGCATTCATAGGTTCACTGTCATACTCAACCTAGGTCTATTCTTTGCCATCTGTGCAGGAGTGGACGTTTGCTTGCCACTTAGTGAGGGTCCTCCACTGCAAGAAATTGGAAACCGCATGCATCCTGAACAACATTGGAAACAGCGCTTCACATGTAGGTCGAGCGTGAACAGTGGCATACCATGCTGCTGCGGAAGGTTGGCCTTTGTTTATACCTTGTAAAATCCGCAATTCTCAGCACATGCTTGTTGAACATGTAGTAACAAGTGCCACGCTAGTAGTAACAGGTGCCTTACTAGTAGTAACAAGGCTACTAGGAACAAGTGCATCGCTTCTAGTAACAAGTGCCTTACTAGTAGTAACAAGAAGGTTCAAGAATGCCCTTGCCCAACTCTCCCACGAGAGTGCAGAACGCACAACTTAAAGACCCTTGGCCCTTGGTGTTGCAGCCGGGAAGCCTGGCAACTTAGGAGGTGGTTTAAGAAACGAGTAACACCTCCATTTGCCTCGTTTTTTGACAAAAATCGCACTGAAGCAGCTACGGTACAAACTGCGCACAAAAATGCCATGCTGTTTGGTATCATTTTCTCCCAAGTTGTGCGAGCAGACACAGCGGCCTTGCACACCACATCCAGCCACCCACTGGATTCGATGTGACAAGCAACTCAGAAGGTGGACAAACATGGAAGACACATCTAGCACATGAACCTACCGAGGAGGGGGTCAGAGACAAGAGCAGACTGGGCAAACATGCCAGAAACAGCGGCCGAGATAGGAGAGATCCAGCGGCATGTATGTTGAAGCTGAAAAAAAGGCATTTGGACATCATTTGACTACTAAGAGCGATGGCCTCCAACCAACCTAATAATTAAATCGTTTTAATTCAAGATGGAACAGGTTCAACAATGTTTCGGGTTCTGTGTAATTAATGGAGATGGCTGCATGAACCAAAGAAAAGGACCAGGAAACACGTCATACTTGTTGTTTTAGCACG